GTGCCATACATTTTGGTTGTAGTGCTCCGCAGTGCTCATCCCTGGGAGGCACAAACTTGGTCGTGCTTGCACACGTTGGGTTGCAGGATGCCAGAGAGAGGGCACAAAGGATCCAAGATGGCAGTGACCCCGGGTCACGCTTGGCTCCTGCACTGGTCCCCAAGAATTACTCTTCCTCCTGCCTGCCAGATTGGCAGGAGATTGGCACCTACCGACTGAGCCTCCCCTGTGGCCCTACTGGGCCTTCTAGGAAGCAGGACCACTGGAACCTGGCAACACTGGAAAATGTGCTCTCTCACGCTCTCTCTGTCTGTCTCTCTCTTTCTTTCCCCTTCCCTCCCTCTCCTCCCTCTTTCCCTCCCTCTCCTCCCTCTCTTTCTCTCCCTCCCTCTCTCCCTCTCTCTTCCTCTCTCCCTCCCTCTCTCACTCCCTCTCCTCCCCTCTCCCTCTCTCTTCCTCCCTCTCCCTCCTTTGCTCTCTCTCTCACACACACACACACATACACACACACACAGCTTTGAAGGACTGCTTCTGTGCTCAAGTATAGATAGATTCTCTCTGATGTACAGCATTAGAAGACATGTATGAAGAGATGAAGAGCACAGACTGCAATCTAAGCGCCATTTTACTCTCTCTAGAACCTGGGATAAGCTGTTCATTGGTTTTTCTCTTTTCTCCCATGTATAATAATAATAACAACCGTACTGAGTGAATTTTATACAAATAAAATAGAACAGTATTTGGTCATAACCAGCCAGCTCTCTCTCTCTCTATATATATATATCACTCACAACATTTTTTGGAAGCAACGTGTTGGAAGTCGCCTAAATATCAATTAATTTTTTGGAATTGGTATAATATGTCATTGTCATATAATTCAGTGATATATTTATGAGATTCTAATCTGTTATAGTGCAATCTGTTATAGTGTTGACATGTATGAGAAATGTTGAATACAAAGCATATGATACAGTTTAGAATTTTGACTATCATAGTGTACTGAATTTGTAATTACATTTTCTCTTCACAGTATTGAGAAGTAATAATTTGGGGGGAGGGGCTGGAGCGATAGCACAGTGGGGAGGGCATTTGCCTTGCATGCAGCCGACCTGGGTTCGATTCCCAGCATCCCATATGGTCCCCTGAGCACTGCCAGGGATAATTCCTAAGTACAAAGCCAAGAGTAACCCCTGAGCATTGCTGAGTGTGACCCCAAAAAAATTTTTTTTTTAAAAATTAAAAAATAATTTGGGGGGGAGATGTAGTTTGAGGGAACACCCCCGACCACCAAACAGGAGTGATGTATGACAGTGCTCAAGGGACAATATGCAATGCCAGGAATTGAACTGGGTTCAGCAGCATATGATGCTAGTGCCCTAACCCCTGTATCTAAATTGTAATTTTTTTGGTTTCATTTGGGGGCCATACCTAACACTACTCAGGGGCTGTTTCTGGATTTGTGCTCAGGACTATCTCCAGGTGGTACCCGGAATTCTGACCAGGCGCACAGGCTGCAGGGCATGCTCTGTAATCCCTGAATCTTTAACCCCTGAATTCATAATTTTTTAAAGACAGTACATAAAACTGTAGAAAAACTCATGAATATTGAATTTTATTTATAATTCCAATTTCATTTAGCGTTTTATCTTTTTGGTATTTTCCTGCTGGTAGAACTTGACTGGGGGAAGAAGGATTGAGCCATATCTGCAGTGTGTGCTGTTGAGAGAAACTCATCTACATATTTGTAGACTGGCACAAAAGTGGCACAAAGTCATTGAATGGGATAACATACCAATTTCATTTAAAGTAGTGACAAAACTGTATTTACATGCTTATAAAAATATAGGGAAAGGCATCAAAATGGTCAGCAACGCTTGAGGTAGAGGTTGGGCAGTGGCATTGGAGTAAGGGCATCTTCATGGACTCTCATGTTATTTATCACAGTGGTCTTCAACCACTGATACACAGGCTGTTGCTTGATCACAGGTGTAGAAAGGTTGAAAGTCAGGGCCAGGGTGATGGTACAGCAGTAGGGTGCTTGCCATGCACACAGCCATCCCAGATTCTGTCCCAGCCATAGATGGTCCCCCAGGTCCTCCACTCAGGAGTGATCAGAGTGCCACCAGGTGTGGGCCCCAACAACCGAGTGAAAGAACTGGCTCAGAGGACTGTGGGATATGCTTCAGTTGTTGCTAGCACCAGGCGTACCATCCCCTGTGGCCCTCCTCATTGCACCATCAGACCCCAGCACAAGTGTCTGGCCCATATGACCAGGCCAAGACCCTGGAATGATATGCCTAAGCAGTGAGCTGGATGTCCTGAGTGTTAATTGAGAGACCCTCTCCAAAATGGAGGTCAAATTTTTGAGAGGAGAGGGTTTTTTTTCATTTGTGTTTTTTGTTTTGTTGTGTTTTGGTTGGGGCCCACACTCAGCAATGCTCAGGGCTTACTCTTGGCTCTGCACTCAGGAGTTACACTTGGCCGTGCTCTGGAGACCCTCTGGGTTGCCAGTGATCCAACCTGGGTCAGCCGCGTGCAAGGCTAGCTACTTACCCTTGATGAGAGAGGTTTGGGCTGTACCCAGTGGTACTCTGGTTCTCCTCCTTCCTCTGCTCAAGGAATCCCTTCTGGTGGTGATTGGGGACCTTATGGTACTGGGAATTGAACTCTTAACCCCTGTACTATGTTTCAAGCCCTCACATGTCTAAGTGATAGTGTCCTTATTAAAGAAGACATTGTGCAAATGTTCAAAGACTTCAGAGAGCCACTGTGAACACTGTTCTATTTTTTTATACTAGAACACCTGTTCTATTTTGTTTGCATAAAATTCACTCAGTACATTAGTTATTACTATTATACATGGGAGGAAAGAGAAAAACCAATTAATAGCTTATTCCAGGTTCTAGAGAGAGTAAAATGGTGCTTAGGTACTGACTTGGGCTAGAGTCTTGCCCCTCTGCCAGTCTGTCTTGACACAAGTTGGTGTGATGCTGTGTGTGTGTGCACATTTCGAGACTTGTTATGGAGTCAGGACAAGTGAGTAAGGCTGGACCAGGCCACTTCCTGAGATGCTTGGGCTGGATTGAATTCTCCCTGGGTTTCATATAGGTAGATACGTGTAAGTAACATGCTGAGTCCTTGGGTCAATGAAGTCTCAGGTCTTCATTTTCTCACTCAGAAGCAGTGTGATTCTTTAATTCATCTTGGTTTGTAATTTATGGTGATCCTGAAATTGATTTTTCCTAGGCCTTTATACATATTTTATATAACTTTCTATATGTAATCCATTGTTTATAGAAGTTTGTAAGTAATGTGATGAATCATGGTACTGTCTGAGTATGATGAGTGAGCATTTATGTGCAATGTGTTTGTGCAAGTGCTTGTGCTTAGCCTGTCAGTCTCGCTTTTAATAAATGTTACCAGTGGTTTTTCCATGAGGCTTCTGCTAATGTGTACTACCTCTAATAAAGCATGAGTGGAAAGAGCAGGACGCCCAGAACATAGCTTGTATTGTGATCACATCTGTCTTTAGAAGTGGGAGGATAGGACCTGGAGATACTACCTGTGGTGGTAGGGCCTGTTACCTGGCCTCCATATGGTCCCTCAAGCACTGTCAGGAGTAATTCCTGAATGCAGAGACAGGAGTAACCCCTGAGTATCCCATTGTATGACCCAAAAACAAACGAAAGGGATGATAGAATTAGAACATACTTACATATACATAGAATTGCAGTGATGTGGTTTTTGTTTTTTTGTTTTGTTTTGTTTTGTTTTGCTTTCTGGCTTTTTGGTCACCCGGTGATGCTCGGGTTACTTCTGCCTCTGCACTCAGGAATTACTCCTAGCATTGCTCAGGGGACCATATGGGATGCTGGGGATTGAACCCGGGTCAGCTGCATGCAAGGCAAACGCCCTACCTGCTGTACTGTCGCTCCGGCCCCACATGTATTTTCTTGCACATGTATATGTTCGTTTTAATGGGTGCTTCTGGAGCTGAAGGAGTGGAAATTTAGTTTAATGGAACAGAAATTAAGCGTGTAAACTTTTTTTTAGTTTGGGATCATTCTTTCCTCAGTGCCTTGAGATTTTGGGGTCTCCCACTAGGGCTCCTATAAGCAAGGGTGGACTCTGGCCCTGATGTTACCCCACTTCAGTGAGCCTTTTTGGAGTGGAGATTTTCTACATTTGTGTAGATTATTCTTTGTTTAAAATCTGACCACGGGATGGAGAGAGAGTTCAGTGGGCTGGAGCATGTACTTTACAACCCAATGGTCCAGGTTCAGTCCCCAGCACTGCATGGTTTCCCCACACCACTCGGAGTGGCCTCGAGCACTGATCTGGGAGTAGTCCTTGAACACTACCAGCCGTGGCCCAAAAACTGGTGCAAAACATTTATGGTGGAAATAAAATTTGAGAAAAAGAACTGAGAAAATATATTTGAACGTATATGCTTAATTTTGCTATATAATATAGCTTATTCTCCGTGCACAGTCACTGAACAGTAAGCTCTTTTGTACACAACAGGCCCTAAGGTGACTGTCCAGATGGCTATCACATGGTTATTTGACTTTCTTTGAGCTCCTACTCCTGGTGAAGCTCAGCCTGCTAGTTTTTTGTTTGTTTGGTTGGTTGGTTTTTTGCTTTTTGGGTCATACCCAGCAATGCTCAGGGGTTACTCCTGGCTCTGCATTCAGGAATTACTCCTGGCAGTGCTTGGGGGACCATATGGGATGCCGGGGATCGAACCCAGGTAGGCCGTGTGCAAGGCAAATGCCCTACCCGCTGTTCTATCGCTCCAGCCCCTCAGCTTGCTAGTTTTCAGGTGCCCATGTCCCATAGTCCTGAGACCCACTTGGACTATCCCTGTAGTGCTGGGCATTGAGCCCAGGGCCTGGTACGTGCCAGAGAAGCATTCTAGCCATCTGAGCTGTCTCCCTGGCCACTGTAGTTCTCATTTTAAACAAAAATAGTTCTAATGCAGTTATGTGCTCTGTTTCCAGTTAGAGATGTTTATGATTATTTCCGGGCTGTTCTGCAGCGTGATGAAAGAAGTGAACGTGCTTTTAAACTAACCAGAGATGCTATTGAGTTGAATGCAGCCAATTACACAGTGTGGTAAGTAATATATATCATTAATATTCCCTGTGGAAGCTTGCTGCTGGTTTTTTTCTTCAATGATAAATAAGATACAGGGGAAAAAAATATTCCCTCTGTTAAAATTTTGCGTTTTAGTTTGTATCTTTCATTTTCCTTACTGAGTAACCTTTATTTTTATCAGAATTATTATTCACTTACAGACTGAAAAGTGGAAAATAGTAATCTTTGTGGGGTGTTTTCTAGCAGAGCCCCCTTCTCCAGACGCAGGAGCTCTAGTTGCTTTTGTTGGGGTAACCTCAATATTCTAAATAATAGGCTTAATTTTTATAGTTTATCTCTCATCTTAGACTTAGACTCCATCATAGCTTCTAGTTAATTCAGAGTCAGTTGACACATGATTTCAATATATTTCCTCTTACACTATTGATGCTGTTGTGTCCCACTGGTGGCTCACACTTGAATCTGATCTAAATACACAGGTTGCAGCATTTATATTATCGTAGTGGTAGTTTTCTTTTTTTCGCTTTTTGGGTCACACCGGCGATGCTCAGGGGTTACTTCTGGCTCATGCACTCAGGAATTGCTCCTGGCGGTGCTCGGGAGACCATATGGGATGCTGGGAATTGAACCTGTGTCAGCCATGTTGACTGCGTGCAAGGCAAACGCCCTGCCCGCTGTGCTATCGCTCCAGCCCCTCTTTGTACAATGAGTATTTGCATCCTTGGCTCTAGAGATAGTACAGGATGTTAAGGCCTCTTTTCCCATGGCTCCCCTCATCTGGGCTTGACCCCTCGCACCACTTATGGCTCCCTGAGTGCTGCCAGGCAGACGCAGATGTTCGCCTCCCAGATTCTGTGCGCTTCAGGAAATGCATCATGACCGTGCATGAGCAGGTGAATCCTTCATCTTCTGTTTCTGCTTCCTTCATCATTCTGGGTGTTGCACATCTGATTTTAAATGCTTCCTTGTACATTTTCCTGTTTCTCTTTCTGAATTTATTCTTGTAGAGACCTTGAGTAGAAGAAACATAAAAACTTGTGAGAGAAATAATTTTTGAGATTTTATACATGTGAAAGTATTTAATTCTGCTCAGCTTTATTAACAGAATCTTGATTAAAATAACTTTTTTTCAGAATTTATAAACCTGGAGGGCTGGAGCGATAGCACAGCAGGTAGGGCGTTTGCCTTGCATGCATCCAACCCGGGTTTGATTCCAGCATCCCATATGGTCCCCGAATACCGCCAGGAGTAATTCCTGAGTACAGAGCCAGGAGTAACCCTTGTGCATAGCTGAGTATAACCCAAAAAGCAAACAAACAAAAAAAGAAACAGAATTTATAAACCTTTTTCTGTTTCTTTTTGCCTTTAATTGAGAAGACCCATAATTCGAATTAAATCTTTACTTTTGGGGCTGGAGTGATAGTACAGCAGGTAGAGTGTTTGCTTTGCACTCGGTTGGCCTGGATTCAATTTCTGACATCCCATATGGTCCCCCTTGCAGGGCCAGGAGTAACCCCTGAGCTGATAACTGGGTATGGCCCCCCCAAAAAAAACCCAAAAATCTGACAAAGCCTTTTCTTTTGATTGAGGGTTTAAAAAAAAAATTTTTTTTTTAAATACAGTATTTTCTCCTTCCTCTGTTCTCTCCTTTTGGAATACTCGAGTGCCAGGGGTTGGACCCAGAACCCCCAACATGCTGGTCCGGAGTTCTGCCACTGGCTCCCTCTCTGGTCCCAAGTGTTCTTGCTGATTAAATAGCTTCCTGGTGCTGAGCTCATGAATGTGCTATATTTTCATTTTTCTGCTTGTCTTTTGGTTGCTTTAATACAAATAATTTTTTGGCAATCCTTGACTCTCTTTGTATTTATATTGCAAGCAGAATAAAACCTGATTGGAGACACTTTTGCAGAACTTCTCTGGTAAAGGACTCCACTAGGACGTGAGCTCTTTGTGTGGATTCTTACCTCAGTATTTTTAGGTCTTCTTTCTTACATAGTTTATTTCTCCAAAGAGTTATCTGATTGTTTCCCTGAAAAATATACACTTAGCTGCTACACAGTTCTGGGGATCAAGGAGAGAAACATTGGGGAATGGAGTTCTCTCACAGTCTGTTCTTTAGTGCTTAAAATTCTTTGATTTTGTTCTTTCCTCTGCTTTCCACTGTACATGTATTCCTTTCAACTTCAGATTTTTCCAAGGAATAAAACCACTTGTCTTTTTACTGAGTCAGGAGATGCGCCCTCTCTGCTTAGGGTGGGAAGAGTCCTGGTTTCTCAGGACTTTTCCTGGACTTTATATTGTTTTCAGCCCCATTCTTGCCTCACAGTTTGGAGACTACTGGATGTCTCTTGGTTGCTGAAGCTTCCTCTCTGTGGGTAGTTTGATTTTAAGCACTTTCTGGTTTTTGTTTATTTTTACGTTCTCCTCTTCCTTCCCCGTTTGTGATGACCAGGGTTCACCTTGGCTGTGGTGCTCACCCATTTGTAGATACTCACCAGAGGCTGTGCACAGTAGTTGCAGGCCTTGCACAGGTGTGGTGCTGAAGGGCACACGGTCCCAAATGGTCAGGGCAAAGGGCTGAACTGGCTGTGCCGCCTTTCCTCAGCGGACCACCCAGACTCACACTGCTGGTTTCATGAGTTAATCCGCATATGTCAGCTTACCAGTCCCGTGTATGGACCTCTTCCCTGCTACTGTTTGGCCTTATGGACTTATGCCTTTTTTAAAGTGTTTAGCTCCATATTTTTAGAGTTTTTTTTCTCCCATTTTTGACGTAACATGGTTAGAAATGCTACTAATCATAGCTTCATGCTTACATTGTTCCAACCAACACCCTCCCCCCCCCCCACATGCACACACAGTGCCTGCTTCCCTCCCCAGTAAGCTCAGGCCTGTGCCTTTTGGCCACCTGTTTCTCCCTTACTCTGTATCTTTATTTACTTAATTTCCAAAAGCTTAAATATTTTCCCCTTTTCTTTTTGTGATAAATTTCTATTTTTAAAGCTATTTCTGTCTTCCTGATTTTTATGGAGATCTATTTTGTGACTCAGCATGTGGTCTGTCTTGTAGAATGTTCCAATGTGGACTGGAGAAGAATGTTTACTGACCTTTTGTGGGGGAAGTTCAGTACCCATATATTCTGTTAGGCCCATCTCTTCCTTGTCTTCCTTCAAGGCTGCAGTTTCCTTATTCTTTTTTTTTTTTTTTTGCTTTTTGGGTCACACCTGGCGATGCACAGGGGTTACTCCTGGCTCTGCACTCAGGAGTTACTCCTGGCGGTGCTCAGGGGACCATATGGGATGCTGGGAATCGAACCCGGGTTGGCCGCGTGCAAGGCAAACGCCCTACCCGCTGTGCTATCTCTTCAGCCCCCTCCTTATTCATTTTTGTCTGGTTGATCTGTCCCACGAAGAGAGAGGAATTTCAAAGTTCCTGGCACTATTGTATTGTCAGTATCTTCCTTCTGGTCTGTTAGCAATTGTCTTAAATATTTAGGTGGTGCATATGTTTAAGAGTTTGAATTCTTGGCGTATTGATCCCTTGCAGTGGACAGAAATGACCATTCCTGTCCCTGTAGCCTTTTATGTTTTGTTTCAGGGCCGGCACTCAACAGTTCTCAGGGCCTGTTCCTGGCTCTGTGCTCAGGGATTGTTCCTGGCAGGTTCTGGGGACCGTATAGGATGCTGGGATCAAACTCAGTTTAGCCCTGTTCAAGGCAGATCCTTAGTACTATCACTCTGGCCCCAGTTTGTAGTCTTGAAAATTTGAACTCTGTGTTGTGTGATGTAAGTATGGCCACCCAGCATTGTTGGTTTGTTTTGTTTTGGTTTTTTTGTTAAGTTTTTTTTAAGTTGTTCACAATAATTTGTTACATTTAATATTCCAACACCAATCCCACCACCATTATACATACCCACCACCATATTTCGAATGTTTCCACCCCAACCTCCAACCCCCAAACTCTGCCTCCAAAGCAGGACCTAATTATTTTTTATTGCCTATTATGAATAATTCACTAAAATTGATCCCAGTAGTTTCCTTAGAGGAAAGTGTGTGAAGATTGCGTTTTACCCTTACTCAACCTTGTTAAGGGAATTGTTTGCCTGTAAGATTGTTTTCCAGTCTTTGGCTTTTTATTTGTTTATTTTTTACTTTTTGGGTCATACCCAGCAATGCTCATACCCAGCAATGCTCAGGGGTTACTCCTGGCTCTGCACCAGCCTTTGACTTTGACTTTGAGCCTGTGTTTACTCGAATGTTCAGGTGTGTTTCTTGTAGGCAGTAGAGAGTTGGGATCAGTTTCTGATCCATCCTAACACTCTTTATACCTTGATTAGTGAGTTCAGCCAATAACACTGCGATATTGAGATGAAGGAATGTACTGCCACCATTTTGTGTAAGTTATGTATGTTTGTGAGTTTTGTCCTTTTAAGAGACTTCTTTAATGCTTCTTGCAAAACTGGTTTCAAGACTATGAACTCCCTAAGCTGTTGTTTTTCCACGAAGCTTTGTGTGTTTCTTTCGAGTCTGGATGCTAATCCAGCTGGATAGAGTATTCTTGGTGAGGTGTGCATTGCACTTTTCACTATGTCTGCCCATTCTCTTCTGGTATATCAAGTCTCACTTGATAGTTCTCTGAATCTTATGAGAGTCTCTCTGTAAGGTCTGTCTTTGATCTTGCTGCTTTCATTATTGTGTGTGTGTCGTTCTTTGGATTTTGTCGTTCTGATTATAACATGTCTTGGTGTGTTTTTATTTAGGTCTCTTTTTCCTGGAGCCCTCAGGACTCTTAAATCTGGGTGCATGCATTCCTTAGCTCCGGAAATGATTATCTGTGATTTGTTTGATTAGTGGTTCTTGGTTGAATTCACGTCTTCCTCAGGGATACCAGTGAGTTTTATATGGTTCCTCTTGAGCTCATCCCATAGACCTCTGATAGACATTTTATTTCTTTTCAGACTTTTTCCCCATCTAATGCTCTCTAGAGGTTTCTTACATCTCATCTTAGAACTCACTAATTGTTAGGTCTACTGCTGAGAACATCTGCTGAATTTTTTATTTTACCCACCTGATTGTCTTTTTTTTTTTCCCTTATTTCTGCTCTCATAGTTTCTTGTGCTTTGCTGACTACCTATACCATCATTTCTTTGAGCTCATTAAACATCTTCATCATGGTATTTGTGTAGTCATTATCTGAGGGGTTCCGGGCTGGTTGGTACTGGCAGAGATTTCTGTGCTAAGTATCTCCACTCGTTGAGCTGGTAGTTGTCTCGTGGCTTTGTGTGTGCAATACTCAGGATGAATCTTTCCAGTTCAGCGCAGCTGGGACAGTGGGCAGAGGGTCTGCAGTGTGGATGTGGGCATGGAGGTTGCTGGCACTTAGGGGGAAGGGAGGGAATCCACTGTTAGTTTCTAGAAGGCTCTGGATGTCAGCCAGAGGTTACCAGCATGTGAGAGGCTGAGTGAGCAGGCAGAGGCTCTGTGGTGGGCCTGTGGATGGCAGAGGTCCTTGTGCCATTTTTATTCCCTTATTTTCATCTTAGTGAGGTTTTAATAGGGAATGAAGAGAAATGTAAGTATTTAAACTACCATTTGAAGCTGAAGCAGTGTGGTATTGTTATTTCATATTACTAATATAGACGTCTGAAAAATTGTTGACTATACATAGCATATAGCACCTTAACTTTTTTTTTTTTAATTTTCTGAGCTTATTTGCATTTGTAAACTAAAAGTTTTTGGTGGAGTGACCTTCCAAGTGGTGCTCAGTGTCTGTGGGACCAGTACTGCTCTGGCCAAAGGACAGAGTAGGGGCGCTTCTGGGGCCTCACAGGGGTGTTTGGAAGGCCAAGTGGCATTGGGGGTCCAGCCTGGGGTGGTTCCGTGTGCTTGCGGCCAGAGAGACAGTGTGACAGGGAAGGTGCGTGTCTGGCCCGTGGCCAGTCTAGGTTCTGTCCTTGATACAACATAAGATCAGCCACACCCCACAGGAGTGATCCCGAGCACAGAACCAGGAGTCAGTTCTGAGCATCGCTGTGTGTGACCCAATCCCCTACCCACCAAAAGAATCTGCTTCCATGTTTATGTTCTCTGATGCCTAGGTTTCTTTAACTGTTATTTCCTCTGTTTAGCATTTTACTTGAAAGGATAATTTTTATTTAATTTTTTACATTTTTATTTATTTTGAGTTTCCACCACCCTCGGCTGACTTCTGAACTCAGGCTCTGTTGTGCCAGGAATCACTCCTGGTAGGGCAGGGTCAGAACCTGGGTCTGCACTTTCCCTTCTGTACTACCTCCCTGGTCCTGAGGATGATTTAAAGAGCAGCTTCTGGGCTGTTTGTTTCTTATTAAATACTGAGCTGGAAACTTTGAAGTGGGGAGCCAGAGGGAGTTCAGGTGCCAGTGTGTGTGCTTTGCCCACACCCTGCATGGTTCCCAGAGCACTGCCCAGTGTAGCCTCCAGCACCACCCCTGATAATTCTGGCATGGATGGGTGTATTCCAGAGAGCAAGCAGCTGTTGATGGGAAAGAGGTCTTGGATTAATCAGATTTTTAGGGAACAGCTTTGAGTAATTTGAGTCCACCTGTGAAGAAGTCAAAGAGAAACATGCTTCAATTACAAGTACCACTTAGGAGGTTGTGTGTAGTGGAATTGATTATATGAATGTATACAAGCTGGGACATACAGGGAAAGAAATGTCTCTAATTTTTGAGTTATAGAATACTAGAACCAGAGTGTATAAACTAAAAGTAATGTTTAGTTGAATCATGGAGAGTATCATGTTACGTGAAATAAGTCAGAAAGAGAGGGTCAGACATAGGAAGATTGCACTCATTTGTGGAGTATAAAGTAACAGAATGGGAGAATTGCACCCAAGGATAGTAGAAATAAGGACCAGGAGGATTGTTCCACGGCTTGGACGCCAGCCTCACATGCTGACGGAAAAAGGCAGCTTAGATAGAGAAGGGACCACCAAGTAAAGGATACTTGGAGGCTCCCTCAGAATGGGAGATATGTGCTGAAAGTAGACTATAGGACCGAACACCATGTCCACTTAATACCTATATTGCAAACCACAACACCCAAAAGGAGAGAACAAAAGGGAATCCGCCTGCCACAGAGGGGGTGGGGAGTTACGAGAGGGCTACTGGGAACACTGGTGGTGGAGAATGGGCACTGGTGCAGGGATGGGTACTCGATCATTGTATGACTGAAACGTAAGCACAAAAGTTTGTAAGAATGTAACTGTGCCTCACGGTAATACATTAAAAAATTTTTTTTTAATTTTATAAAAAAGTAATGTTTGATTTCTCATCTCAATGTTTGTTGCCATTTATCATTTTTACTTCAAAAGGCTTGCTTCTTCCTCAGAATTGTAGAGTTTGTGTTTGTAAATTGCTAAATTATTGGTTATATAGGCAATCGATATTCCCTCTATGGTAAGTTTGATGTATTTCTTTTCGGTGGATTGACATGCCTTTGGGTGCTTGCTGGTTGTTGCAGGCATTTTCGAAGAGTTCTTCTAAAGTCACTCCAAAAGGATCTACATGAGGAAATGAATTACATTACTGCAATAATTGAGGAGCAACCCAAAAACTATCAAGTTTGGTAAGATGAAAATGCGAAGAAATTGCATTTCTGTGCTAATGATAGTAGTTTTCAGTAGATAGTGGTATTATCTACTGGAGTTCATTTTTGTACTCTTACTCCTGTGTGCTGTGCCAGCTGTTAGCTGTAGCAGGGCTGTTAGGAGAGTTGGATGACATCATTTTATGTTCTGTGCTCAGAATGGTCCCTGATCCATAGTGAACACTTACTGTTAGCTACTATTCTTCATTTAAAATTCCAGAGTAAATATTCTGTACTGCTAGTCAGAAAATTTTATTTGTTTTTGGGGCACTCCTGGCAGGCTTGAGAGACCATAAGGGAAGCTGGGGATCAAACCCAGATTGCAAGAAAAGCACCTTGTCTGCTGTACTATTACTCTGGCCTGAGAAAAATATTTTTTCAATTAAAAAAAACTGGAAAATGTTTTTTATTTGTGTTTTAAATTATTTTCTTATATTTTTTTTGTTCTACAATATTTTTATTGATGGGCTGGAGCGATAGCACAGCGGTAGGGCGTTTGCCTTGCATGCAGCCAACATCGCCGACCCGAGTTCAATTCCTCCGCCCCTCTCAGAGAGCCCGGCAAGCTACCGAGAGTATCTTGCCCGCACTGCAGAGCCTGGCAAGCTACCCGTGACGTACTCGATATGCCAAACACAGTAACAACAAGTCTCACAATGCTACTGGGCCCGCTTGAGCAAATCGTTGAACAACGGGAGGACCGTGACCGTGACTGTAGTTTATATATGCCATTGTACCATTTAAATTGTACAATTCATTGGTTTTATTATGTCTATAAAACATGCAACTATCACTTAGTGAATTTTAGAACATTTTGACTAATACTTTTTGTAGTGTTACCAGGGATCAATCATACTAAAGGTCTTTACATGTGAAGCATGAGCTCTACCATTGGTCTGCATTTCTGAGCCCACAATAATATATTTTTATAAATATTTTAGGGAAAAAAACTGAAATAGCACCTAATAGAAAATATTTCAGAAGTATTTTTCTAGTTTAGAAAATGTTGTTGTTGTTGTTGTTGTTTGACAAATTTGAAACTTTTTACATTATTTGCCAGAATGGAAATGAGTTCAGTTTTGCCCACAGACTGCTGGAAGGAGCAGTTACTTACATGGTGACACTTTGAACTCCAGGAGAACTGGCAACCTCTTTGTGATTAGAGGCATGTTCCTTCACGGTGAAATAGTAATCACTGTGCTGTCTGGGGATGTTTCAGAAGTCTTCAATAGAATTTTGTGGATGTCAGGTTATTGTGCTTTTAGATTTTATTTGGGATATGCTTTTCTCGTTTGTTTGTTTGTTTGGGGGCTAGTGTGCTTGGGTTTGTACCAGTTTGGCAGATCAGATGAGGTGCTGGGGATCAAACCCTTGTGGGCCCCCACGCAAGGCACTCATCTACTGTCTTGTCTTTCAGACCCCTGCGATATAGCTTTTTCTTGTTGGCTTTGTTTTTGAGCCACACCCACCCAACGATGCTCAGGGGTTACTCCTGGCTCTGCACCAGGGACCATATGGTATGCTGGGTATCAAACCCAGGTCAGCTGCATTGAAGGCAAGTGCCCTACCTGCTATACGATCTCACCAGCCCCAAAACGCAACTTTTTTATGCTCTTTAGTATCTGATTTCAATTTTATGTAAAAATTACTTCTATGTTTTTTGGTTATTAGGGTTTTTTCTCCAGAACAGCCTAGAGGTAAAGTGTTTGGGGGGTATGGTGGGGAGTGGGGCAGCACTACACCCTCAGGGCCATGTGCTCCAGGATCACTCCTGGTGGCTCAGGGGGCCAGGTGTGATGAGGGGGTGAATCCCAGGTTTCCCACATGCAAGGCAAGCGTCTTGGTGCTCCAGCACTGAGGTGTTTGTTCTTGAGTGCCCATCCACATCACTGAATAAAACACATGACTGTGCTTTAATTCCTGAGTGTATTAACACAGAATCCATCTCCCTTCTTCCTTTAGGCATCATAGGCGTGTGCTAGTGGAGTGGCTAAAAGATCCATCCCAGGAGCTTGAATTTATTGCTGATATTCTAAATCAGGATGCAAAGAATTACCATGCCTGGCAACATCGACAGTGGGTTATTCAGGTATTGCCCTTCTTATTACGTTTTCCAGGGTTTTTAATGAATTTTCCTATTTAGTAGAGTAAATGGCTTCGTTTAGCAAGTGTGAGTGAGGAGAGACAGGAATTGCCATTTAATCAGGGAGAGAGATTGTGCCCAGCCTGCATGTCCATGTGTCCCTTAAGCCCTTTTAAACGAAATCAATTAAAAAAAATTGTAAATACACTTTTGTGGTGATTTAAAGCTCTTCCCTTGCACGTGGTCAACTTGGCCTCCTTCTCTGGCACCCTGTGTTCCCCTGAGCCTTCCAGGAAAGTACAGAGCCAGGCGAAAGCCCTGAGCACTCCCAGGAGTGATCCCTGAGTGCAGAGCCAGGAGTAAGCTCTGAGCACTGTCAGGTGTGGCCCAAAAGCAAAAGTGAAGGGTTGTGGGGCTGGAAAGAAATGCAGGGGTTAAAGTGTTTTCCCTGCATGGTTTAGCTCAGTCTCCGCACCACGCATAGCCCCTGAGCATGCCCCAGTGACCTTGAGTGCTACCAGGTGTGGCCTAGCCATTGTCCCCAACACATACCCCAAAACATCACTGAGAAAGTTAACCTGACTGATGTCTCCATATTGATTGACCTCTATAATCTGGAATATGTTGAGATCAGTAATTCACATTAAAGAAAAATAATACTTTCAATGCTTTCTAACTTGATTTTGTATCCTATCTGAAATTTGCAAACAGATTGAATAGAAAAAGTCGTTCTAGGGCCAGAGAGTTCCAGCAGGTAAAGCTCTTGCCACATGCAGCTACCTGGTTTTGGTCAGTGCCCTGCATGTAGCCCCAGGCAGTCAGGAGTGACCCCTGAGCACAGCCAGACATGGTCCAAAAATGAAAAGAAGGAAGAAAGTTTAAAAAAAAAATCGTTGTACATTTTAAATGTAATTATTATTTTACTTAACAGGGCCATATTATATATTATTATATATTAAGTTTTTTTGCATGTACAAACTTTGGAATTTTACAGTAACTATAAAGAACTTCATTTGTGCCTGCTTGTTAAAATTTTGCTCTAAATCCTGACTAGAAGAAAATAGTTATCACTCCCACTCTAGGCATTTTATATATTCAAAAGAACAATCCTAGCATTGTTTCAATGAAATTTTTTAGTGATTGCTGCTCTTTGCACTATTCATTATACCAAGAACATTTCAGCAAAAATATTTTTACTTAAAAATGGAAATATTCAAATTTGATGAAAGGGATACATTTTCCTAAATTTCTATTTAGTATATGAAATTCACTTTTTTACTTTTATCAAATAAAAAGTATAACTTCATTGGGTTTTTCAAAGCATTCCACAGCTTTTCAAATTTGTAAGTTTGATCATTCTATGAAATTGTTTTTGTTTCTCCTCTTAAAATTAAATGTTTAGGGACTGGAGCAGCAGGTAGGGCATTTGCATTGCACGCAGCTGACCCAGGTTCGATTCCCAGAATCCCGTATGGTCCCCTGAGCATTGCCAGGAGTGATTCCTGAGTGCAGAGCCAGTAATAACCCCTGTGCATCACCGGGTGTGACCCAAAAAGCAAAAAAATAATAATAATAATTAAATGTTTAAAAAAATTTTTTTTAATTAAAGCAGATTTTTGGGCAAGGAAGACAGCTCAGGTTAAAATACATATCTAACATGTACATGGGTGTTTGGACCTTGCACTGGGTGGTCACTGAGCAATCAGACTGTTTCCAGGACTGTTCTTATCATTTGTATACTTAATGCTTTACTCTCAAATCACATCAAATTTATATTCTGTATTTAGTCATTTTCTTACTGCTGAATTTTTTCCCCAAATACTATACATAATGCAAAAGTTATATTTTGTTTTTTAATTTGTAGAGTAGATCTTAGGTCAAATTATAAAAACATGTCTTTTGGTGTTTGAATTGTTTTCAGTACAGTGGTAGTGAATTCTTGGTCACATGTTTTTCAGGTGGTTACTATTGCCTGTGCTTTTTCTCTCTTCTCCTTTTCCTGAAATTGCAACCTTCTTACATACATGTGATGTTTAAGTCCACTAAACTTTTGCAAAGTTTTCTTTTTTATTGCTTTATAAACAGTGGAGCATTCTCATTTTATGCTTAATTATATGTTTTCTTCCAGGAATTTAAACTTTGGGACAATGAGCTACAATATGTAGAGCAACTTCTCAAAGAAGATGTGAGAAATAACTCAGTCTGGAACCAAAGATACTTCGTGATTTCTAACACCACTGGCTATAGTGACCGTGCTGTATTGGAGAGAGAAGTGCAGTGAGTGATAACCCTAACTTCCTCGTTGATTCGACCATTTTAAGGGAGTGAGTGCTGACTGTAATCCAGCACCACCGGGTATTTGCCTCATAAAAGCTGTTTGAGGGACCAGAGAGATAGTCCAGCAGGGAGGGCATTTGCTGTGCACGGCGCCAATCTGGGTTCTGTCTCTAGCGTCCCATATGGTACCCTGGCACTGCCAGAGCAATCCTCAAGGCTGGACCAGCACGGCCTCTGTCCCTGAGTTCTGGTCTGTTGGCTGACATCACTGGAGTGACCCATTACTCCCTTGTGTACCATTTGAGAAGCCAGAAAGAAAACCCCAAAACAGAACAGAATATTTGTGTATCAACTGTTGTCTCAGGCATTAAAAGGTAAAGGTAAAGGCCCTCCCGTTGATCGTCGATTTGCTCGAGCGGGCCCAGTAACGTCTCCATTGGAGACTTTGTTGTTACTGTGTCTGGCATATCGAATACTCTCGGTAGCTTGCCGGGCTCCGCTGTCTCAGGCATTAAGAATACAATAAAGAACAAAACTGCCCTTTATGGAACTAATTGGACAGAATACTTAGATGAAAACCATCATTGTAAAATGTGGATTTTTTTTCATTTCTCTTTGGTGAGGTTTTAATTCATTTAGAATTGTTGCTATTAGGACTTGAGGAGAAGTTCTGTTTCATGTTATTTGGATAACTCTAGTTTCAAACTGCCTAATATCCCCTGGAGGACGCAGTCACTTTCGTTGAAAGTTGCTGTAGCATGCAAAGAGCTCTTAGAGGGGTCGGAAATTTCTGGGATCAGGGATGTGTCTTAGCAGTACAGCAGTACAACTTCCTCTCACGTAAAACCCCAAGTTAGATCTCCAGCACCAGGGGGGAAAAGAATTTTCTGAATTGGCTTAAATTTCTAGTATTCTATCCATAAACGTTCATGGCTATGGGTGTTGTGTTTTGTGATTTAGTGATTTGTAATCTGGCAGACCCATGCTTTGCGTGTGGTGCTCTGCTTTCTCTGGAGTCCAGTCCTGGCCCTGTCATCTACCACCTGAGCCACATTCCTGGCCCCAGGGTCATGATTTTTCTAATTCTTTTTTTTTCTGATTAATAATTTTAATAATGAAGGTTGTTTTAGGGGCCAGAGAGATAGAACAGCTGGGAGGGCACGTTCCTTGCACGTGGCCGACCCAGGTTCAATCCTCGGCATCCCATATGGTCCCCCAGCACCTCCAGGAGTAACCCCTGAGTGTAGGGTCAGAAGTAATCCCTGAGTCTCATCACTGGGTGTGGCTCCCAAAACAAACAAAAGTTGTTTGGTGTCAGACTGATAGTCCAGCAGTAGGGGCACAGCTGACCCTGGTTTCATCCCACACAGTCTACTGGCCACCACCCAATAAATAATTCAAGTATTGCATTTTATTGCAATGTTTATTTCAATATTGCACATATATTTCTATTTACTATAACTTTATTAGGAATACTAGGCGGAGCGAGTGGGGTTTTTGCCTTGCACAAGACCAACATGGGTTCGATTCCTCTCTCCCTCTGGGAGAATCCGGCAAGCTTCTGAGAGTATCCCGCCCACATGGCAGAGCCTGGCAAGCTCCCTTTGGCGTATTCGATATGCCAGAAACAGTAACAACAAGTCTCACAATGGAGTGTTACTGGTGCCCGCTCGAGCAACTGAATGAACAATGGGAGGACAGTGCTACAGTGCTATTAGGAGTACTAGGAATAATACATTTATTTTTAAATTGAATATTAAGAGAGCAAAAGAGTACAGTGAGTAAGACACTTGCCTTGCATATTGCCAGCCCCAGTTCAGTGCCGTACACTGCATGTGATCCCCTGAGCACCTCCAGGAGCACACCCAGAAATAGATCATGGGCATTGCTCAGTGTGACCCAAAGTCCCCTCCCCAACCCCCCAGAAAATAATAAAGGCAAATGATTGGTTGCTAGATCATGAAAACTTACCATTGTGCTGCAATAACTAGTTTATAAAGAACCAAAGTTAAAATTTAATGTGAAAAATACAAAAGTAGAAAAAATGCAAACAACTAGTTGGTATACTAACCGCATTTTCAAAAAGAATCCATTCAGTATTCTGATAACCGTTCCTTCAAATGGAACAGTGCTGGAAATCCGACTCAGGACCTCACACGTCAGCACTAAGCCACGTGCCAGCCCCTTTAGCAAGTCAGCTGTCAAAGTAATCCTAAGCATTTCCTCCTACGATGATGGAAATGCAGATGTTTCGGATACAGCAAAAAATAATATGATGAATGTGTCTCAACAAATTTCCACCAAGTTTAAATGAAGAGCATTAGTACTTATTTTTAAAATCTTAGTGTATTAGAACATTTTATTAAAAATATACTACAGGGGCTGGAGTGATAGCACAGTGGGTAGGGTGTTTGCCTTGCATGCAGCTGACCTGGGTTCAATTCCCAGCATCCCATATGGTCCCCCGAGCACCGCAGGAGTAATTCCTGAGTGCATGAGCCAGGAATAACCCCTGAGCATCGCCGGGTGTGACCCAAAAAGAAAAAATATATATATATATGTATATATATTACAAACAGTATTGCAAACCACAGTGCCTAAAAGGAAAATAAGAGGGGAAAATAGAAAGGGAGAGAGAGAAAAAAGTATCTGCCATCAAGACGATCTGTGAGGTCAGGGAAGGAGGGGCTGGGCTGGAGGGAAACTGAGCACACGGTGGTGTGAAATGTGCACTGGTGAAGGGAGGGGTGTTGGAACACTGTAGTACTGACACCAATCATGAACAACTTAGTAACTATCTCACAGTGATTCAATTAAAAATAATTTTTAAAAGAAAGAGAAAATATGTTATGAAACCCAGAACATTACTCTGAAATTTGGTATAGTTTCTCTTCCAGAGTATGAGTTTTGTTCTTCTTTCTTCTAAATAGATAAAAAGATAATTCAGTTTGTGGAAAGCCAAAGGATTTTTTCTTTTCTAAACAAAATCTTAATTAGAAATGCACAAAACTAAAGATAGAGATGTTTTTCTATAAAAGTAGATGAAACGCCATCTGTGAAGTCAGGGGCCTAAGTTGGCACTTGGCCCTTCACGCCACACAAGGGCGGGGACCCCTGGTGTGATGCTCAGCACCACTGTCTCCAGGCATGTCAGGAGACATTCCTCATCACTGTCAGCAGTGGCCCCCAAATCCAGAGTTCCTGGTTTGATGCAGGAACCGCGGTTTTACTTCCCAGTATCCCATGGCCCCATTAGCATAACTTTGAGTGACCGCAGAGTACAGAACCAGGAGTAGCCCCCGAGTAGCTGTGGTTTAAAAACAAATCAGCCAGATTTTTTGTAGTTGATTTTCATCTAAACTGCTGATAAACTGTATAAATGAAATATGCCAAAAGTAAACATAAATGACTTAAAATTTATGTCAACTCCTTAATCCTAAGTTTTTGTTACAACTCTTCTACTAACTAAACTGTGATTCATGTTTGTTTTAACTACCTGGTCCCAGGATTAGGAGTGTTGAACAAGCAAGAGTTTGGAAAAATGCATTCTCTCATCCTTCCAAGGCAGATTACTCATTGGCCTTATATTATCACATAGAAACAATCAGCAAAAAGCTAAAACAGGATTTTTATGCTTAAAATTGTATTATCCTTTAAGGAAGATAAAAAGAAAAAGTAGGTAAAAATAATACTTAAGGAGCTGGAGAGATAGTACATTGTGTAAGGCACTTGCCTTGGATGCACCTAACCCGGGCTCAATCCCCAGCATCCTATCTGGTGTTGCCAAGCAGTACCAGGAGTGATTCCTGAGTGCAGAGCCAGGAGTAACCCCTGGGCACACCTGGGTGTGACCCAAAAACAAACAAATGATAGTAATACTTAGTTATATGGTTATGTATAGATTATTTTTTCTAAACTTTTTTTAAATTTATTTTAAAAGAATACAGTGATGGGCAGGGGAGAACACACTGAATTATACCATGTAAAACATCAGAGTTTTTTGTTCAGTTTTTGGGACCACACCTAGCAGTGCTCAGGGTTTACTCCTATCTCTGTACTCGGGGATCAATCTTGGTGGGTCTCGGGGAACCATATATTGTGCAGGGATCAAACCTGGTTGGTTACATACAAGGCAAGTGCCCTACCTGCTGTAATTATCCCTTCACCCCTAAAACATGAAAATACCTTACTCTCCTTCTTTCCATATCCCATTCTGTAGAGTGAGGTGCAAATATTTTTGCATAGTGTCTTTTGCAATCAAATTACATTCCCTTTTTCACTGAATCCATCTTGACCATGTTTTTCTTATTATCATAACCTTAGGATTTGAAATTAGGCAGCCTGATCTCAAAAATCATCAAAATTGATCATGCTTGGGGTGGGGGGGGATGCTGGGACCCATGGTGATGGATGACGGGCACTGGTGGAGGGATGGGCACTTGATCATTGTATAACTGAACTGAAACCCAAGCACAAAACTTGTAAGTCTATAACTGTACCTCATGGTGTTTCACTAATAAAAAAAAAAAAAGATCATTCAGAGGGTACGGTGCTTGCCTCACATGCACTCACTGTTTTGTGATCTCCATCACACTTGGTTCCCTGAGCATCTCCAGCCGTCATCCCCGATCTGGGATGGGGCGGGGGGGAGGCATGAAAGAAAATACCATATTAAAGCTTGCAGGAATGTGGTTTTACAAATAATTGAAAATATTAATTTGTGGGGCTGGAGTGATAGCACAGCGGGTAGGGCGTTTGCCTTGCACACGGCCAACCCGGGTTCAATTTCCAGCATCCCATATGGTCCCCCTGAGCACCACCAGGAGTAATACCTGAGTGCATGAACCAGGAGTAACCCCTGTGCATCGCCGGGTGTGACCCAAAAAGCAAAAAAATAAGTCATAATATAATATGAAATAGTCACATAATTAGTCACATGATACTGAATGAGTATATTATTGATCTCTGAGGAGAATGGATGTCATTGTTATCTTTCACTGGTAACATAATTGCCATGGTAACATCACTGCAGTTAAAAAAAAACTAGATCACCTAGCTTTACTCGGTTTTTTGTTCATTTGAGCAAGTATGTCATGAAACAGTTCTGCTAAATACTTTGGAATTTTTTGTAATTGGATGTGAATTTAATGATGTAGCTATAGGAAGGGTAAGTAGGGAGTATCCATTTTGATGGGGAATCTTGTCAGAATTTGCTAGTAATTTTGTCTAATAATTTTATATGTGTTTTTTTTTAATTCTTTATATTTGCATGTTTTTTCATAGTTCCTAAGATTGTATAATTCTTTTTCAGTGACTTGGAATTTGTCAGGTATAAGTAGGACTTAGGTTTTATTTTTCCTTTGCTTTACCAAAGGAGTCTCCTCATTGTAGGGGCCAGAGGGCATTTATTTGCTATGCACACAGCCGACCCGGGTAAGGACCACATCCCATATGGCCCCCTGAGCACTAACAGGAGTGATTCCTGAGTATCCTAGATGTGGCCCCAATATAGCAACAACAAAAAAAGAATTTTTTTTTTTCTTTTTGGGTCACACCCAGCGATGCTCAAGGATTACTCCTGACTCTACACTCAGAAATTACTCCTGGCGGTGGTCAGGGAACCATATGGGATGTGGGGGATTGGGCTGAGTCAGCGCGTGCAAGGCAGATGCCCTCCCTGCTATACTAGTGCTCCAGCTAAAATTGCCTATTTTATGATGAAGTATGCCTTTAAGATTATTTCACTACAACTGGAGAGAAGAACCATTAAGATTTGACAAATGCAGACCCAAAGGATTCTCTGTGTCAGTTATAACTTAAAAAAATACCAAAGCCCTCTAGTAGAGAAATGAAAGCACATGTCCAAGTTGTATCACAATCTTCTTATAATTGTTTCTGATTAACTGCACTGCTCTCTTTAGAATTACACACACGTTTGGTCTTTGTCTCACAGGTACACTCTGGAAATGATCAAACTAGTACCACATAATGAAAGTGCATGGAACTATTTGAAAGGGTAAAGTTGTTTTTTGCTTGTTTTCTGTTAAAAAATCGGCCTGGTTATATGCATCATGGAGTATGTTCCATAATTGGATTTCAAAAAGATATATGTTAAAGTGTTTCCCTTTTTGCTGGATTTGGATTTAAGGTCAGAAGAGCCAGCGCTATTGTAAACATGTCCCAGCTCGTCAGTAAGAAATGGGTTTCCTGGGGTAGGAGCAATAGCACAGCAGGTAGGGCACTTACCTTGCACACGGCCGACCTGGGTTTGATTCCCAGCATCCCATATGGTCCCCTGAGCACCGCCAGGAGTAATTCCTGTGCATCGCTGGGTGTGACCCCCCCCAAAAAAGGCAGGGTGGGGCAGGTATGGAGACCTGAGAACACTGGTGGAGGGACGGAGTTGGGACGTTGAAAACTAGTATTAACTGCCTGTAAATCTGTCTAAAATAGAAATACTTTTAAATTTTTAATTTAAAAAATCAGAAAAGTGTTTATATTAGCACCCAGTCACCGTGCTGTCTCTCCTCTTAAGCGCATGCCAGCAGTGTCATGACAGTCTGGGTAAACAGTGATGCGTCTGTATTTTACTCATAATCCTCACTTCACACTCTCCCCACGTGGACACTGACAGAAGCTGACTCCTGTGTGACGTCAGAAGCTCCACAGCACAAAGCAAAGTCCAGTCACTGGGGGGTGGGCCCGAGCCATAGTCGGGGGGAGGGCACTCACCCCAAAACCCCTCATGGTCTCCTGAGCCTTACCAGTAATAAGCTCTGAGCACCGCTGGGCGCGACCCAAAGAAGTAAACACATTTGGAAATGTGTCAGGTTTGGGGTCTGTGATATCTGGCCTGCATAAAAGGGTAAGGAACTATTTTAAGACGTCTCCTGTTTTTCTTCTCTTTAATTTTAAAAAGAGGTTAATTTTTTTGCTTTAACTTTACAAACTATGCAGTTTGAACTATGCAATGCTTCGTTATCTTTTTACTTATTTTAATACACTTTTAGATGTATGTGATAAAATGCTTACGTAATTGAAATTTTCATTCCATCTGCTTTCAGAGCAACTCTCTTTCCATGCTTATGCTGTAGAGGTTACATTTTCTTGATTTTCGTTTCAGATTAGTTTTTTGGGTTTTTTTAAATTTTTTTGTTGTTGTTTTTTAGGATTTTGCAGGATCTTGGTCTTTCCAAATATCCCAATTTATTAAATCAGCTACTTGATTTACAACCAAGTCACAGTTCCCCCTACTTAATTGCCTTTCTTGTGGATATCTATGAAGACATGCTAGAAAACCAATGTGACAACAAGGAGGACGTTCTTAATAAAGCCCTAGAGGTAAGCACTGATGGGACTTGGTGCTTTTCTGTCTGCTATATCAGAATTAGGCCTGCTCAGAGCCAGCAATTCATTCTTCCTTCCCACACAGTGAATTGGGAGCCCACTGCATATTGCCCAGAAGGCCAGGTACCTCTGAACAGCTTTGCTAGAAGGGAAAGGCTGTATTGCAGTCCTGAATCTAGGAAGGAAGATGCTGTGCTCACATCTGTGTAACTATCCTCACTGTTTTGGAGAGTATTTATACAGATTGATGGAGGGGCTTGAAGCTTCTATTGCTTGAAAAACAGGAGATGGGGCTGGAGAAATAGTGCAGTGGGGAGGGCATTTGCTTAGACCCAGATGACCTGGGTTTGATCCCTGGTATCCCATATAGTCCCCTGAGCACCTCCAGCGGTGGCCCAAAAACCAAGGAAAAAAGAAAAGAAAAACAGGAGTTGGATTTATGGTTTAGCAGAATGGAGGCCGGGGGGATCTTGACACGATCTATTTGCTTGAATGTTGATATTTTCTCTGCATTCCCCTAAACTCTCAGTGACAGGTCTTAGATGCTTCATTGGCCCCTTAAAGGTGAAAAGCAGGAAGGAAAGTTGGTAAAAGATTGGTTGAGTGAATTTCTGCTGATCCTTCTTTCCTGGAGAAGGTGGAACATAAGGCTGCAGAGATGACTAAGAAGTGCCCACGCATGTGCTTTGTTTACAGGAGCCCCAGGGTTCATCCTGGAACCTAAAATTCCCTGAGCTGAGAGCAGGTTGGCCCTCCCCAGGAACTGAATGGTGTACCGTTCAGAGAACAAGCAGAGAGGGTGTGCCATGGTCATCACTTCTGCAGAGCACTTCCTGCAAACATTGTGACAGAGTTAGCATTGATTTATGAATGTTCCATAGCCTTCTCTGTCTTTTAAGGTCCACTGCCTCAAGGCTCACCAGAGAGGACGGATAAGACACTTGCCTTGCATTCACCCACTCACATTTGCTCTCTACATCTCCTGAGCACCACCAGCATTGATCCCTGAACACAGCTAGATGTGGCCCAGAAGATTAAAAAGCAAAACAGTAATTGCCTTCAAGGGTTACCAGAAGCCAATGCCAGGGCTCTTGCAGCTGTTAAGGGCAATACCTGCATCACTAGTAAACACAGTATCTGACTATAGTAGCATATTTCAGTTGGACATAATCTCAGTTAAAGTGTATTGGACGCAAAGGATTTACCCATTTCAGTGACATATTTTCTTCAATGAGTTTTTTGTTTTTGTTTTTCACTTTTAGTTATGTGAAATTCTAGCAAAAGAAAAGGATACTATAAGAAAGGAATATTGGAGATATATTGGAAGATCTCTTCAAAGCAAACACAGCACAGAAAACGAACCTCCAGCAAATGTTCAGCAATAACACCATCCAGAAGAATTTGATGGATGCTTTTATTTTTTTAAAAGACTCTAAAGCAAGAGTTTAAAACTAGGGTGGTCACTCCCTTTGTGGTATAAAACATGAATCACAAAGGTAATTGCTTTCTAACAAGAACTAAGTTATGTTCCTTGGGTGCTGCTGCTGTTCAGACTAGTTCTAAGTAATTCAGTTTTTCAAAGCAATGTAGTTCAGGGGAGTGGGACCATGAGGGAGGGAGAAAATCAGAAAGTCCATAAAGATCACTGTAGTCTTACAAACATTTATTCTAATTTCTTAGCATCACCTTCTCCCCAGATGGTCCGTGCATTAGGGCTTAAGCAGTGATTGAAGGTAATGTGTATGGGTGGAGATCCTTTGATTCTGGGTTAAGCAAGCAGGAAATGACTTTTGATACATTAGAGCTGCTTTGCCGCACTCACAGTATCTTGCTACCACTGTAACCAACTAATGCCAAAAGAATGATTTTGTAATAAAATTATAAGATGTATCTTAAACATGGTCAGAGTCTTCTTTTTTGAAATAGCATTTAACTTTGTATAAATAGCATTGTTTCATCTTAGAAAAGCAATTGAGGAAGAAAATCACTTGAATCACTTGTCATCCACTTGCTCATCGATTAGCTCGAGCAGACGCCAGTAATGTCTCCATTCGTCCCTGTCAAATGCTAGTGTAGCTTAATGGCATCTGCTCACTCCAGGAACACAAAGAGCTTCAAACCGTTAAGGAAGAAAATACTGCTATGAAATTACAGGGATGGGATATGGTGCCGCCAGCAGGACAACCGGTACCTACGGGGCAAGTGCATCAGCAGCCTGATGGTGCCTTCAGGCTTCCCGATACCCCAGAATTGCTGCTGTCTATGGCCAGACCTCAACAACAACAACTTGGGACCAAGTTTACCAAGAAATTAAACTGCCAAAAGTTAAGTAAAACCACCCACAAACCACCTACAGCTCAGCTATACGAGCTCATTTATTGGCTTTATTTCAGAGACCCATAAATATCGAAAGAGATCCAAAGCCACAGTTAATCTCAGACCCGCTCATGGATGAATAGACTGGGGTAAATTGGAGGGGGCAGGTTGGCCTGTACCTACCCAAGCAGAGCCCACAGCAGCTGCTTGTTTCCACAATCCAAAATCGCTGGCATACCCCCAACCTGACTCCACCATCTCAGCATGGACATCACCAAGATAGAATTTGCTGAAAATTTTGTAATGTGGGTCCTTAGCACACCAGCAACCCTGACCCCAGAGACATAGCAGCAAGTCCCAGAAGACACCAGAGTGCCAGAGATCTCTCCGGACCCCACACTGAGCCAGTTTCACCAGGGAACCCCAGATGGAGCAGCTGTGCTCTCCCCACCTACTCCAGATGGAATCCCGGTGTCCACGAGCTTCCACAAGTAATGCCCAGGTATGCGGGGTTCGGGACTAAATCTCCAGGCCGCATGGCAGCAGAGGACCCGGGCTGTCCCTCCCCAGGTCCTCACCCACCCAGCAGAATGGCTGTCATGCCCACAGTTTGCCTCCGGGTGCCATCTTGCCATCTTAGCACACCAACAGAGACTCCCAATTGAATCCCAAAATGGATTAGTGCCATACAGAGATGTCTCTGGAACCCAACCATTTACAGTCTAGAAATTTACATTTACAGTCGCAGCCATGCAAGTTCTCATGATACTCAAAATGAACAATGGAAAATTATCTAGCGTCTGCCCCTGGCAGGTAGACTTGAATGGTGGTGGGAAATTTTGAGCAAAACATAATGCCCAAAATTAGAGAGTATTGGGGAAATTGTCTGCCATAGAGGCAGGGTGAGGACTGGGATGTGGGTGGTGGAAAATGTGTGCTGATGGAAGGATGGGTGTCTCATCATTGTATGGCTGAATCTCAAAATGAAATTTTTGTAACTCTATCTCATGGTTTTACAATTTAAAAAAAAGTAATGTGGAGTTCATGGCCAATTCAATCAGCTTAATCAATGGCTGAACAAATAGCAGTACTCCTATGTTATTTAAAAAATAAAACAATAATAATAAAATTATAGAAACCATGAAACATAATTTCGTCAAAGAAAATATTTAAAAATGTGAATTGATCAATTTTTTCAGTGTCGAGTTTATTTGAGCATACAGTTCAGTCAAATCAAGCAGGCAGAGCTAGTCAGGACCACAGTAGGTAATTTTTATAGACATTCTTTAAGACATTCTTTAGAATATCACTAACATGTTGTTAAAGGTTGAGTGATGAGAGCTTTCGTATATACATATATATATATATATATATATATATGTATATCACTTAATCACTTAACTTCCCGTTAGTCGTCGATTTGCTCGAGCGGGCGCCAGTAACGTCTCCATTTGTCCCTGTCGCGTGCTAGTGTAGCCCAATGGCATCTGTTCGCTCCGGGAACATGAAGGGCCTCAAACCGATCGTTCATGATCTTCACGAAGAAGTCTGACCATCTGGTAGGTGGGCGGCCACGCGGTCTCTTGACATCCCGTGGAATCCAATCAGTAACAGCTCTAGTCCAACGGTCGTCTTTAAATCTCATTACGTGACCAGCCTATCTGATTTTTGACACCTTGGCAAATGAGACAGCGTCCCTGATCCTTGATCGTCGACGGATGTCAGAACTCCGGATTCTTTCTCTCATTTGAGTGAAACGTGATATTCCAAGCATAGCTCTTTCTATTCTTCTTTGAGAGACCTGAATGGCGTTCTCATCTTGTTTGCGTAGGGCCCAGGTCTCTGAGGCATATGTTAATGCAGGAAGAACAGTGGAATCAAAGAGATGTGCCCGGAGCCGGAGGTTCTTCCGTCCTCTATATATGTATATATCTGAGACTATATATATATATATGCATATATATATTTCCCTCTATGATTTGTTGCCTACAATTTGAGCCCCATCAGGCGTGGTGTGGAACATATAGAGAATTGAATCGGTAGGGAGTGTCTTATGATGTGTCACACGGCCACAAATGTGGTTACACGGTTCAGGAATACATTCATTCGATCCAGGAATATATTCATTCATACAAGAGGCTTGACCTGAGTGTGTGGGGAGTGACCTTGAGTGTGGCAGTGGTTGGGTTCTTAAGGTTTTCGGCTGTAGGGGCTGGGTCCCTTGGGGCGGGGGGGCTCTCACCCACCCCCTCTGGGGTGCCCTAGTGAAACAGCCTGACTCGGAGTCGAGTGCCATGGCTGTGGTGGGCATCATGTTGTTCCCTTCCAGGAGAAAAAGAATTGGCCCATTCTTTTTTTTTTTTTAATTATTAGTGAAACACCATGAGGTACAGTTGTAGACTTACAAATTTTTGTGCTTGGGTTTCAGTTATAAAATGTTCGATTACCCATCCCTCCACCAGTACCCATTTTCCACCACCACTGATCCCAGTATCCCTCCCACCCCCCACCCCCATCCTACCCTGCCTCTGTGGTAGGGCTTTCCCTTTTCTTCTCTCTCTCCTTTTGGGTGCTGTGGTTTGCAAAAGAGGCATTGAGTGGCAATCATGTTTGGTCTATAGTCTACTTTCAGCATGCATCTCCCATCCTGGGAGGATCCTCCCAACACCCTTATTTGGTACTCCCTTCTCTATCTGAGCTGCCTTTTCCCCTAGCATCTGCAGCTGGTCTCCAAGCCACGGAGTAAACCTCCTGGTACTAATCTAGGCTATACTTGGGTGTTAGTCTCCTCTTTTGTTACTTTATGTTCCCCAGATGAATGCAATATTTCTATGTCTATTCCTCTCTTTCTGACTCATTTCACTTAGCATGATACTTTCCATGTAGTACCACTTGTATGTAAATTTCATGACTTCATCTTTTCTAACAGCTGCATAGTACTCCATTGTGTAGATGTACCAAAGTTTCTTTTTTTTTTTTATTAGTGAAACACCTCGAGGTACAGTTATACCTCATGCTTGGGTTTCAGTTATACAATGATCAAGTACCAATCCCTCCACCAGCGCCCATCCTCCACCACCACATGTCCCGGCATCCCTCCCACCCCCCATCCTCCCCATCCCACCCTGCCTATGTGGCAGGTCATTCCCTTTTGTTCTCTCTCCTTTTGGGTTCTGTGGTTTGCAAGAGAGGCATTGAGTGGCAATCATGTTTGGTCTGTAGTCTACTTTCAGCATGCTTCTCCCATCCTGGGAGGATCCTCCCAACACCCTTTATTTGGTGCTCCCTTCTCTATCTGAGCTTCCTTTTCCCCTAGCACATGTGGCTGGCCTCCAAGTCATGGAGCAACATTCCTGGTGCTAATCTCGGTCACTCCTGGGTGTTAGTCTCCCATTATGTTACTTTAACCAGTCATCTGTTCTTGGGCACTCAGGTTTTTTCCAGATTCTGGCTATTGTAAACAGTGCTGCGATGAACAAACAAGTGCAGATGTCATTTTGACTATACTTTTTTGCCTCTCTGGGATATATTCCCAAGAGTGGTACTGCTGGGTCAAATGGGAGCTCAATTTCTGATTTTTGGAGAATCGTCCATACTGTTTTCCAAAAGGGTTGAACCAGTCGGCATTCCCACCAGCAGTGAAGGAGGTTCCCTTTCTTGCCACATCTGCGCCAACACCCGTTGCTTTTGTTCTTTTGGATGTGGGCCAGTCTCTGTGATGTGAGATGATATCTCATTATTTTGATCTGCATCTCCCTGATGATTAATGATGTAGAGCATTTTCTCATGTGAGAATTGGCCCATTCTTGACTGCAAGCAACACTATCCTCTACATGTGAGGTACACGGCTTACAGAATTATTTGATTTTCTAGAAATACAACCCTAACCCATACTACAGAATTGAATCACCAAGTTTCTTGCATGTGCCGAGGTAAGGAAACTGCTAGAGAGAAAGCTGGCTCAGGACCTTCACTCTCCCCACACGCCTGCATGTTGCCCATGATTAGAAGAACCAAAGTGTATCTTAATTTAAAGCTTCACAGCCTCTGCAGTTCTGTAAGATGCTAGAAAGGAAGTGTTGAGCAAGCTATTTGCTGTACCTACACATAATTAAATCTCATTAAATAAATTTTCAGTGTCCAGGGAGTCAGTCTGGGGGGACAAAATGGGGTGCCAAGGATCGAACCCAGGTCTGTCGCATGCAAGACAAGTGCCCTACCCACCGTACCATGTGTCCAACCCCAAAACTGACATTCATTTATCAAATACATTTTGTAGCATGGAATCAGATGAAGAACAGTTGAAATGCTTAATGCCCTTGACCTCTGATACACCTAAAGGCCTTCAGATGGGCAGCAGTGTGTGTAGAGCACCACAGTGGCTTCGTGAGAACTCTGGCCTGTCAAGGGGATCTGTGGAAAGGTTACCAGTTCAGAAGGATTTGCCTAATCACCCTGCCTGTGCTGCTGTTTCCACTGTTACTGTAAAAAAAAAAAAAGGTGCTGGCAAACTGCCAGTGTTTAGCAAAAACTGCGGTACCAGACTTATTAGTTATTGGATTCCTCACGATTGTG